CGGAGTTCTAATAATCTCATTATGAGGCCCCACTCTCATGACCGCCTCTAAACTAAACATACTTGCCACCTGAAGGCCCTGTGGCCAAAGACCATAACACTAAGGGTTAGAGCTTCAACGTAAGAATTTTGAAGAGACTTAATTCACTTTACAGCCAAGTACCAAGCCCCTCCCTCTCTTAGACGCAGGAGAATTTTTGGGTGGCCCAGTCTATCTCAGTGCCTACTTTAGACATTTCTTAGGTGAATAATATAGTCCTTATGGTTTAAACAACTGTAAGTAAGGTAATTTGCAATGTGAGGCTGAACACCCCCCCACCCCCCCAGCCCCTGCCGCCAAGAGAACCCATGTAGGACAGTTGCAACCATTGTTCTCAGTGACACAGCTGCCCATAAAAAGCCGTGGCTGGGGAAGGGCATAAGCCCCCTCTGCCAGCGCCCTGAGTCAGCCAGCCAGGGGCGAGGGCGAGCGATCCCTGCCCCAGCGCAGGGGCCTCTTGGGAAGTCAACAGCAGGTGACACTCAATGTTGGTTGAATGAACGCATGAAAGAACAAAAGAAACAAGGGACATGGAAGGAGGAATAAAAGGACTTGATGAATTTTCCCAGCTTCACCCAAGGATAAACCTCCCTTGCCTTCCCGACCTTGCATCCGAGGAGTTTATGAAAGCATTCACTAGCCATCGGCTCTTACTGTGTCCTACGTGCTTGGAATGGAAGAATGACACCGGATTCCGTGCTCAGCTCACCTGCTACCTTGGGGGTCAGATATCTTCACAGCCTCCTACAATATAAGACAATCTGATGAGCAAATTCACTCATTTATTCATTCCTGAAGCCAGTCTCAGATGTAGAAGGGAGGGCAAGAATTCAGGCCTGAGCAGAAGGAGAGGTTCGCCTACAACCTGGGGGCGCTGACCACAGCTTCTCCTGCCCACCCCACCGCGAACTTAGGAGCTGAAATTGTTCATGGGAGTTGTCTGCTTCGGGTGCAAAGTTCCAGGCTTTCATACCTCTGCCTCAATCAGTCATTGTTTCGAGCTGCCCAGGAAGACTGTGACTTTGGGAGAGGCTGTTCTCTGCCACCGAGACCATTCTTGAGGAGGGGCTGAGAGCTGAGAGCTCTCTGCTCATAGCACTCCCAGACGTTGGGCAGCAAGCCTTGTCTATTTATTTATTTATTTATTTATTTATCTATTTATTTATTTATTTATTTGAGGGGGTGGAGAGAAAGGGCAGAGGGAGAGGGAAAGAGAAAATGTTAAGCAGGCTCAGCCCAGCATGGAGCCCAGCACAGGGCTCAATCTCAGGACCCTGAGATCATGATCTGAGCTGAAATCAAGAGTCAGACGCTTAACTGACTCAACCATCCAGGCGCCCCAACGAGTCTTTTCTTAAAAGGGAATCTGAGTGACGCATTTCTGCATCCATCAGTCATGGACTATGGGGCCTGACTTCTCTGCCTTATTTCCTCCCATTGTTCATCTCACTTAAGTTGCCCCTTACTATTTTTTGAGCAGGTCAAACACATTCCCATCTCAAGGTCTCTTCTCTTACTGTTCCTCTGTTCTAATTGTTTAGATAGATAACTGTATGGTTCTTACTTTCTCTTCTTTCAGATTTCTGCTGAAATACCTCATCTGAGAGAACAATCATGACCACCTTAACCAAAATAGTAGACCTCCCTCAGCATGAGAGAGAGAGAGAGAAATAGACATAGGTTTATAGATAAATAGACGTGGTTGTGTTGCTTGTTGATGGTCTCCCCCACATTATTTTGTTATATTCTCAGGGCCTAACAATATACAGTAACAGGAGCATAGGAGGCTCTTGACAAATGTTTGTTAGAGTCAGACACTGTGCTAGGTTCTAAGATAGAATGGTGAGCAAAGACAGGGATGAACTCTGCATTCATGGAGCTTGACATATGTTTGGAGAGGCAAAATAAAATAACAATCACGCAAATAAAAATTATGCTCAGTCAGAAGATAGGCCTTGGAGAGAAACGTGGTGCTAGAAGGGCACGTAACAGGGATTTGACCCTGTCAGGAAGGGTATAGAAAGCTTTTGTGAGGAAGTGATGGATGACCTGAAGTCTAAAGGATTAATAATAGGTTTTGACTATGTGAGGAAAGGTGTCTGATTCAAATTTATCTTCGGAAAGGATCACTCTGGGCTCATAGAGGAGATTGGATGAGAAGGGGCAATGGGCATTTGTAGGATTGTTAGTGTGCTACTGAAATCCTTCAGATAAAGGTGATAGTTGTCTGAATTTTGGGTGGCACAGGTGGTTGGGAGAAGTATCTGGGTTTGAGGATTCTGTGTGAAGTACACAACAGATGAGGCTTATGGATTGTATACAGGAAAGGAGGGGGAAAGGAGGTACCGAAAAGGACTTCTGGGCTTCTGCAGATCTGGATGGTTGGTTGGGAGAGAAAATTGGAAGAAGAACAGGTTTATTTTGTGTTCGTATGCATATATGGGAGAAGAAAGTCAGAGAGAAGATTCTCACTTTTAACATTTTGGTTTTGAGGTGTTACTGAGATCCCTAGGATGAGATGTCAAGTAGACCATTGGTGATAAGAGTGAAGAGCTCAGAAGTGTAGCCTGGCTGGAGATATAAAATTTGTGAGTCGTTTGCACAGGAAGTATTTTATTTTTTATTTATTAATTTTTTAAAAAGATTGTATTTATTTATTTGGCAGACAGATCACAAGCAGGCAGAGAGGCAGGAAGAGAAGCAGGCTCCCTGCTGAGCAGAGAGGCCAAGGGGCTTGATCCCAGGACCCTGAGATCATGACCCAAGCCCAAGGCAGAGGATTTAACCCACTGAGCCACCCAGGCGCCCCACAGGAGGTATTTTAAAATGTGGAAGTGAATGAGGTTGCCCAGACAGAGGACATTTCAGGATAAGAGAGAGGTCCTGGGATGGCGTTAAGGAACCTCAACATTTAGAGAAGACCGGGCTTGCAAAAGAGACTATCAGGACTGCTAAAGATGTTGGAGGATAATGTGGTGTCACTTTAAAAGAGTGTTTCTATTATCAGTTTATATAAGATACTCCAATATCTTGGGGTGCCTGGATAGCTCAGTTGGTTGACTGGTGGACTCTTGATTTTAGCTGAGGTCATGATCTCAGGCTCCTGGGAATGAGCCCCAAGTTGGTGTCCATACTCAGCAGGGAGTCGGCTTCTCTCTTCTCCTTCTGTCCCTCTACCCCTTGTGCAGGCTCACTCTCTCTCTCTCAAATAAATAAAATCAATCTAAAAGAAAATTACACTGATGTCTTATGTTCATGTTGTTTTCTGAAAGTCCTCATTTATTTTAAAGATGGTAATAGAATCTAGGGCAAAGGTAACTAAAGATTAACATGGCTCTGTTACAATGGAAATGTTTCTAGAAGAGAGGAATTCTCAGGAGGCTCAAAACTCCTGAAAGAAGACTTGGGAACTGAAAAATACCAGCACAGAGGTAGGTCAGTGGTGATGTTAGTGATTTATTGCTTTTCCTGGGGGAGAAATGAGTTAAAAGGTCAGTGAGAAGCCATTAAATGGAAACATTGTGAGAGAGGGGGGTAAAAAGCCTAAGAACTATTTTGGGATGGAAGTGGTAGAATTGAGAGGTTAGTTGTTAGTGTAAGGATTCCAAGAAGGTGGGAAGGAAAGTGAATACCAGTAAAGGGGTCCTTTTAAATGTAGACCAATCCTCCGTTGTAACAGGAGGGAGGAGAGTGGTTAGGGAGCAGACCTAAGTAGATTTGTAGGCTTGCTATGGGGGAGACAAGGGATTGCCTTCCATTTTCTCTGTGATGAAAGACCAGAGTTTAAGGGCTTCTCCGGGTGTTATTAGTAAGGGCGCCTTGTTAACTAAGTGTTTTGGGCGTGGGTGGATGCTTCAGCTGTTCTGCTGTTTCGCAGGTAGCTAAATATACATCCCTGTTCACAGCGGTGGCAACGGAAACAACAGGAGCTTAGTAAATGCTAGATTCATTTCTCTTGTACTGATGATGATAAAGCCGATCAATGCCCTGGTGACAAGGGAAAGTATTCGCTCCGATAGGGTCCCTATTATAAGGCGCCTGGCAAGTGTGAGGAGCGAGAATCTAGCGGGCCGACCACAAACAGCTCGAGGGAAGGAAATCCACCAGCACGTCCCTTTTGGTCTGGGACCGTAAGGGTTAAGACCATCGAGACCTGGCCATCCCTGCTTCCTAGAGAGACTTCGGCATAGCCGGCCGGGGGGCTACGGTGACTTCCTGTTTGTGTCTTCCGGGCTGGGGAGTTTAGGACCCTGGGTTGGTGGGGTCAGGAGGAGCTGGGGGCTCCTTGCTCCGGGACAGCTGGGCCCGTTGGGGTGCTGGGCGCCTCGTGTGTGGCCCCCGGAACTGTGAGTTCCTTCTGGGGGGAAGGGAGGCAAGGGCTGCGGGCTGGAGGAGTGGCCACTGCACCCTCCAGGCTGCAGTGTGTGCCAGGAGAGGGATCCCGCGGCTTCGAGGGGCCGGGGACCGGGGCCCGGGGTCTCCCGCCGTCCCGGCCATCGCGCTGCCCTCGCCTCCCTCGCCTCCCTCGCCTCCCTGGCCAGGCGGGTCCCTTAAAGGAGCTGGTCGGCTGGAGACCGTCTGGTCTCCTGGAACGTCAACCCCCCAGTGCACCCAGCCTCTGCCCCCTGCCAGCGGTTCTTAAAGCTGAGCTTCAGGCAGTGCATTTTCTTTGGGAGACTTTTTAATTCAAAGCGCAGCCCCGTCCTAAGCACCTCTGCTCTAGGACAGTGAAAACAGCTCATCTCTGTGGAATGACATCTAAGGGACAACCTTGTAATACCATTTATGGCCTGAGTTTGCTACCCATTTGCTGAGCCAGTGTTCCTCAGGGGCACCTGCTACCAAAGTTAATAGTTTCTTAGCTGGGAAAGTGCTGCACGGGTCTCTGTTACGTGGACTTTTACTTCGTTTGTAAAGACTTTGATGGAAATCGATAACTCGGACAGCAAAACATATTACTCCATAGGAACAATTTTCCGCCCCTTATAGAGGTGTGAACTCCCACCCCCCCC